ATGAAGCACAGGCTTGTATGAAGATTAAATGCATTAATGTAGGTAAAGAGCATATCATAATACAGGGACCAAATGAATCTTCTCAAAATGGCTAGCTTTTATTATTTCTGTTACCATGTGTGATTTGAATGACTGAATGACTGTGATTTTCTGGGTCCAGAAAGAAATGTGTTATGAAATAACAGAGTACATATGCTACCAGGAACTATTATAAAGTCTTCTATTGAAAACTTGGATATGAGAGTGATCTTTTCCACTTGACTTTTCTTATCCTTCATTAAAAATGTACACCCAGAGCTGAATGCCTTCCTCCAATCTATTCCCAACACAAGAGTGGGAGAGATACTCCGAAATCGGAAGTCGAAGTTGGTCACTCTGTTTTGGCTCCCAAGCTCATGTAAAGGAAAAGCCAGAACCTTTGTAATGACCTCCAGGTTCTGTGTGATCTGACCCATCCGTGCCTCTCTTTCTTGTACTCTGGCAGACTTTCTCTCCATTCCTGGGATATGACAGAACAACACCAACCTGAGGACTTTCACGGTTGTCGGTCCTTCCTGCATCTACAGGCTTCCTTCCTTCCGTCCTTCAGTATGTAACTAAGACATTTCCTTTTCACATCTGCCTCAACTTACGAAGCATCCTCTATTCTTTCTCACTTTACAGCCCTCTTACTTGCTCTGCTTTTTTAATACTCCTCTGACTTGTTGTATTTTGTTTATCTGTTTCGTAGTGTTTTCTCTTGTTTGTTGCCACCCCAAATAGAAGCTTCATGAAACTAGATGATTTTTGTCTCTTTCAATCTCTGCCATATCTCAGAGACTAAGACAGAGTCTGCCACATGGTTGATAATAAATGTTTATCGAGGAAACAAATACAGAAGTTACGTGTGTTCTGGTGCCTACTTTTGCATGGTTTGCTGAAGAACAAAGCAAACATTTATAGGCTGGTCTCTGGGTTTTATTAGTGTTTTCAGGGACTCATCAAACAAACAAAAAAATACATTTCAAAAATATAATTCATTCATAAAACAGAAATGCTCAGCTTAAATTTAACATAGCTTAAAGGGAGAGATTTGTGATTTTTTTTAATGCAGTAGCCCAAGGGTTATTTCCCACAAATTATCAACCAAGAAGCCAGATGGGAAGAAAAGCAAGAATTATGCAGATAGCTACAGAAAGATTAATCCCAATTTAGCTAAACTTGTGAAGGCCTGCACATTGCAGAGGTTCCTAAGGCATAGTCTCAACAAGTTGTTTTTGTAAATGCTTTATTTCTTAGTTCAGAAACTGAATCCTGAGAACTAACACTGAGGATAATTCGACTGTGATATTGCTGTTGCTGCAATGTTCTTTCACTTGTACTACAAGTATCCATCCAGTAGGTACATGTCAAGTATCAACGTGACACGATAAAATTAGATAAGTTCCTCACATTTACGGTTCCATGCTATGCACACAGTAGGCACTCAGCAAATGCTTTTATGACCATAGAAGAAAAATACTTTCCCTCTTACTATTTTCTTTTCCTTTATTTTATACATCTGAAAAACAGCTTGTAAAACTAAAATCACACATGCACTATCAACCTTATCAAAAGATCCCTCAGTATTGTTCAAACATAAAAATAAAAAAAAAACCATCCCAACATACTAAAACATAGGACTACTTTACATTTAAATAGTAATTTACATCATATAAACACATTCATAATCTTCATTTGTTAAAACAAGTCAAAAGAGTCATTACCGGTGTCTTGTACCAGGTAAGTCTCACAGTTCCAAAGAAGGCCACAGAACTCTTATCTAACATACACTGACTGGTGGGAGCAAACAGCCAGTTTTTGGTTTCATTTCAGCAAGGTAGGAAGGCAAGTAAAGAATCTCACAGTAGAACCTCTATAAGAGATCATATGTCCTTGAATATTTGGTGGTGCATTCTTATTCCAGCGAAGAAGAGTTATGCCCAATGATAAGCAGTCTTCTAGAGCTCACTGATCCATTTATTCCACAGACTTATTATGTAGTTGTCTCCAGCTAAGTATCAGGAAAGCAACAGTGGTGAGATACAATCCCTGCCCTTAAAGTGCTTACAGCCTGGCAAGACAAGATCTTTGAGCAAGGACCAGTAGAGTCTCAACACTGGGATCTGCCCTGCTCCAGGAGTGCATTTGAGACATTGAAGGGACATCAATCAAGTATCTAGGTCTGAGCCTGGTAAAGTCTCAGCAATACAGTTGCTACCTCAGGTTCCCATGAAGACTTTCCACTGATGCAAGGTGCAAGCCTTATCTTAAAGAAGGTTCAAGAAAGTTGTGCTTGGTGACCATAGGGATATCTAACACAGGCTAGCTTCCTTAGGGAGAAGCTATATCTTCCTCAAAAGGAAAATGGACTCTCTACAGGGCTGTGTCTTCCCTTTCAACACTGTGGTAAAAAGTACTCTGTTTATACCTCAAGTTGGCATGGCTCAATTACTTTGAGTTCTCCAAGTCACCAACAGCACATACAAAAACAGGCAGCAGCATCAAGCCAAGACAATGGAGAGCTCTGCTGAGAACTTAATTCTCCAACCTATTTAAACAGACACTGGAGGCCAAGAAACTGTCACTTTCAACAAATCACACAATTTGCTAATTATCTGTGGAACTGTTTTAATTGGGACTTCCGAGATTCATTGACTTTCTAACAAAGGTGACTCTTCAATCTACAGGCAGTAGAAAGAGCCAAAATCCAATGAAGAAGCGTGAACTCAAAGAAGAATCTAACCACCTCCAATGATGACCAGGCCAAGCCAGCGAAAGAAAAGGTCCCTAAGAACTTCATACAACTCATAAACATATGGGCACCAAAAAATCCATGTATTCACACATCTTCAATTGCCTGAATACTTAATTTATATTGTGTGATATAGAGCCAAATGCTGAGAAGACCTCATAGTTTCTGTTACTTGGGAATGTCTTTGCTGATCATTATGATTTCCTTCACTCCTTCCATCACTGTTACTTGACAACAGCAAGCAAAGACTTTGTAGAGCTGACCAAACTAGGCAGAAATAAACAAGGACTTGGTTGTACCTTAAGAAGATTATTTGGTGCTCCAAGGTTACCACCCATAATGATTCTTATTATAATTAGGAAACTATTCATTCTCCTTATTTCCAGCCTTCTGAATAGGAGTGAAGTATAAACATTTAGCAGTCTTTGAATGTGAATCACTCTAAGTGGCTAAGGAAAATCTTGTAGTAGGTGCTGTGTGACTTGGTGCAGAGCACTCCCTTCTATTACGTGAATGTCTTATTCCACATTATTGCTCAAAAAATAGTCAGGATAGAGGAGCAAGATGAAAAGGCAAAACAAAACAGGAGATCCAAAAATGAGAGCTGTAAAAGGGAACTGGATATCAGTCATTTTCAAAGTTAGAGTCCTGTTTCTCCCAGGTGAAACAGGTATCCAAGGTACCCAAGAACAAATCCGTCCTTGCAGATGCTTCCAAGTTCCAAGTTCATGGGCACAAAAGTTTGTGAGCCGAGTTTTCCATTCGTCTTTATGACTCTTCCTTTATTCTCTCTCTCTCTCTCTCTCTCTCTCTCTCTCTCTCTCTCTCTCTCTCTTTGAGTAACAAAAAACATTAAAACATAAAGCCTTGAGTACAAATCTGGGCAGAAAATTATTCACTTGGGGATGAGTTCAGTTGAGACAGGAAAGAGATGAATCAACAGTGGAACGATCATGACAATTCACACATGCAAAAAATCTCTCATCTCTCTTGCATTCTCTCTCTCTCTCTCTCTCTCTCTCTCTCTCTCTCTCTCTGTTACACACATACACACACACACATTTTCTTACATTTCCTTCTTCAATATAATTTTTGTAATTCTGGTAACAAATTTCTTCTGTGATGCTTGCTTCATTGCTATCTGTCTGACTTGGGTTCTGATCTGGTGTTCTGAAAAGAAGTCATAGTACATATTTTAATCCCTTGCCCCTAACATTTAAAAAAAATAAAGACAGATTGAAAGTGAAATCCTACTTTTGCTTTGCTCTCATGACTAAAAGGGTTTTCATATCCTTTTGTTTTAAGAACAAATCATCATCTTCATTTTTGACTAGGTTAATCAGGAATGTTCAGGTCATTTTCTGGTGTATGGGGACATCTTGGCTCACAAGAGAGGCTGGCATCCAGTCAGCAGAGGTGACAGATATGGCCAAACATCATACAAGGCACAGAGCCCTTGCCACAAAGAAAATTTCAGACAAAAATGTCAGTTGTGCAGACTGAGAAACCCTGAACCCTAAGGACTCAAGAGAAAATTCATCACTTCCATAAAACCATCTCCATCTTCCCGTTTCTTTTTGAGCACTTAGAGTAAAAATAGCCAAATCTGAAACCTTTTTTTAAGTAATTAAGAGCAAGAAATCTAGGCCTTTGATAGTTTTCACCAACGATCAAAGAGAAAATGGGAGAACACTGGCATTGGGTACATCGTCCCATGATGAGAACAGAGCACCTTACCGCTAGTCTCATGAACTTCAATATTCCAAAACACATGATTATGAAGCAATTGGAGTCCACCCTGGACTTTGGACGTCCCCATTTTCCGTTCATTTGGCTCTTATGGGTCAGATTAAACTTTCCAGCATCTTGCCAGTGTATCCCATCAACCTGTGACCCTGAAGTCCAACCCAGCAACCATGCTCTCCTTTCTTTACGAGGCTATGTGCATCTTCATGTACAGAGAATACATCAGCTTTGTCTAAATCTTTCCGTATACAAAAACATTTAATGCCCACTGGTTTGTTTGTTTGTTTTTTTTTTCCTTTTTTTTCCTTTCTCTTAGCAAGAAGCACAAGGCTACAAACTCTGTTATTCCTGCAGTGGAAAAGAACTTCACAATCGAGGCAAAACCAAACCATAACCACATACAGCATCGTATTTCACAGAAAACTGTGTACATTTGTTCCCCATATAGGACATACTTCAAAGTAACAAAATAATTTTTTTATCAACTGTAGTGTTCCTTCTTCCCATCAGAAGCAGATTTTTTTCTTCCCCGTATGGTACATAAATATCAGAGAAAAGTCGTCTTTGAAATATTTACGTCCAGGAGTTCTCCATGTGTGACTATTCTGGGTATGTTTTGGTTTGTGTTCAAAGTGTTGACAGATTCAATTTTCATTTTCTCTCCATCCACGAGCATTCTTCCCAAATTTATATACCAGTCTGCGTCCATCCACACGTTCCAGAATTTCTCTTTTGTAGTAATATCTACATATAACAAAGGAAATCACAGAATGTCATCAGACTGACAGCGCTAGGCACTGGCTAAACGATTGGCATTGGCCTCTGCGTTTTCAGACAGGAGACTGCTCACCTCATGGCCCGGCTGAGTTTCTCATAGGTCATGCTGCTGTTGTTTTTCTTTTTGCCCCAGAGCTGAGCCACGGCCTCTGATTTCAAAAACCTAAAGATGCCCTCAGACCGGTCTTCCCACTTGATTAACCCTGGGTTCTTGTCTGGATTCAGAAGGATGTCGCGGATGAATTCCCATAGGTGAGTCCCTCTTGGATCTGATGCAAAGTAGAATGGCATTATTAATGGCCTAAGTCACAGCCAAGGAAGGATCGAAGGAGCACTGAGCTACAGAAACTTCCATCAGCAGGAGATAACTCAGTTCTCCCTGACTCACCAAGGAAGACAAAACAGAATCATCAAATGTCGGATTATTTTTTTAAGCCATTATAGGGAGTGAGTGCTTGACACAGCTGTTAAGTTGTCACTTGGGACACCAGTACCCTGTACCAAAGTGCCCAGTTCAAGTCCCAGGCACTCCACTTCCCATCCAGCATTCTGCACAGAGGCAGTAGATGATGGCACAGTATTTGGGTTCTTAATACCCATGTGCAAAACCCAGAATGAATTCCAAGTTCCTGCTTTAAGTCTGGCCCAGCCTTAGCAGTTGTAGGCATTTAGGAAACGAAACAGCAAAGGTAAAATATCTCTCTATCTCTCTCTCTCTTTCTCCCTCTCCCTCTTCCTCTTTACTTCAAATAAAATAATTTAAAATGAATAGATATTTTGAAATATCTATTTAAGAACAAATCAGCAGGGAGTGGCAAAATGGCTCAACTGGCTAATCCTTCCTTTGCAAGTGCTGGGATCCCATATGGGCACCAGTTAGTATTCCAGCTGCTCCACTTCTGACCCAGCTCTCTGCATATGGCCTGAGAAAGCAATAGAGGATGGCCCAAAGCCTTGGGACTCTGCATCTGCGTGGCAGACCAGGAAGAAGCTCCTGGCTTCTGCCATTGGATTGGCTCAGTTCCAGTCATGGTAGCCATTTGGGGAAAGAGTTTTTTCCCTATCTCTCCTCTTTGTAAATCTGCGTTTCCAATAAAAATAAAAGCACTCAAAAAAATTACTGACTCCCAAATCTTCTGTTACTAATTCTGATCTCCTTCTTGGACCCTAAGCCCAGTTATTTTTCTCATTCTCCCTTTGTTTCCTCATCCATTTCATGCTGCAGTTTTTCTTTGACCTGCTTTGAGACTAGTCCATAAAACAGTACCAAATAATGGCCAAGAGACATTTGTGGATACAAATGTCTTTCTCTCTGTATATCTGCCTTTCCAATTAAAAAATAGTAATAAATCTTTAAAAAAAAAAAAAAAAGAAAGAAAAAGAATAAACTAGTGCAATTGGCTTTTTTTAAAAAACCAAGAAGCTTGTGCATACAATTGAAGTGAGTTGATCAAGATAACACAACCAACCAGTGACAAAGCCAAAAACTAAGAAATAGATTTCAGTCTTCTAAGCCAGAGGATTTTCTAATTATTATTCACAAAGTATCTGCAACTCATTTCAACTTGCTAATTCTCTAGGAGAGCAGCATTCAACCATTTTATCCATTGCTTCTACATTGTTGATTACTCTTCTCCATTAATTGTTTTGACCTAGCCAAATATCATTTAGGGGGTTAGAAGTGTCACACAGGATTGAGGGGCCTGATTCGAAAATGAAGCAGCTACTATAATAAGACTAGAAACCAAATTCAGTTTTTCCCCTGCTGGATTTGTGATCCCTCCCCATTCTATTTGAGTTCTATGGAAATTGAGTTCTAGGAAACGATCTGAAACTGTGGCTGTTAAAGACATTCTGATTCCCCGTACTTTCTAGTTTATACCACCTTGATTTCTTGCTATGTAACATGACCCCTCATCACCCCCAGTCCCAAGTCTCTGATCTTTCCTATGTATTTGTGAGCTTTTATTATTGAAGGAAATTCAACTGCCAAAGAGCAATGCCAAAGCATAAAAATAAAATCATGTCTTAGAACAACAATTCCACAAAGGTAGGAGGGTAACATTTGGCAAAAGCAAGAATGATTCACCTCAGTGGTTCCTTCCCACTCCTTTTTCTTCTAAGCAAGAGAAAATAATCATTACCTGCCTGCCAGCCATGCATTCTAACTCACTGGGGCTCCCAGTTGCAGAGCAAATAGCATGTTGAGAAAACAATCAGGGGGACTCTGCTTTGGGAAGCATCTGCAGAAGGGTTTACTTCGCAAGCAAGTGGTGCCTCTTTGTTCTCTTCCTACTCAATTTGAGGCAAACAAATGACTTTGCCTTCAAAGAAGTGGTTTCCACTGTTACCCAACTGGAAGGGGAGGCCGGCAGCTAGGCGAGTCTCCAACTTACTGTGCTTCTTGGTGTGGGACTTGGCAGGGTGGTCTTGCTCCTTTTTCATATCGGCTGACTCTGCTAAGGAAAAAAATTAAACCCATTTCAGTGACCCACTTTCTGTGGTTATCATTTGCATCCACACATCCATCCATTTAACCAATAGGAAGAGAGTTCAAGAGGTTCAGAGAAAAATGGAATGAAAAGATTCATTTATTTGGTTCCAAAAAGTTGATATTTGTTTCATTTTCTACCAAATTTTTAAGTGGTTGTATATTTTTGAGCACTTCGTTTTCTTGCCTGGCACCTTGTATGGTAATAGAAGCAAACCAAACAGATGGTGTATGCTAAAGAGAAAAATAATGTAAGATAAGAACTGGAAATTGAAGTGAAGATGTAGAAATAGCTTGTAATTTAATACAAGATCATCATAGGGCCTTTCTGATACCGGAATATGAAGGATAATAAGAAGTCTGTCAGGTGAGGAGCTTCTAGAAGAGCCTTGCATGAATGCCAACAGTAAGTGCAAAGGCCCTGCGGTCAAGATGAGTTTGCTGTGAAGAAAAAACAGAAAGAAGATGGTGTGGTTGTGAGCAAGAGGCGAAAGAAAAGCAAGTGGGGCTCTGATCGTTAATGTCTTGCAGGAATTATCAAAGACTTTTACTCTGGGAGAGATGGGAAGCTATGGAAAGGTTTAGGTCATTGGAAGGATTTCTTTTTCCATAACACAAAAATGTAAACATTTACAACAAAGAAAGATAGCTTTTAAGCTGGAGGAGTGCCCTTTTTTGGCATGCAAAGTTACATTTTAATCACTCTGACAAAGGGGCCATTGAGTGGCCTGGGCTCAAAACAGAGGGCCACAGTGGACTATGGAAAAACAGATTAGTTTAACAAATGAGTCATTATGGTAACATTTGTGAATATCACCAAAGAGAAATGGCAGGGGCACCTGTGAAACGAAAGTTCTTCCTAAAAAGAAAACTCAATGACCCGTGTGTGTGTGTGTGTGTGTGTGTGTGTGTGTGTGTGTGTGTGTGTGTATGTGTACACATGTGCACAGGTGGTCTGTTTCAGAGGGTATTTGGGATTTGCTGAAAATGAAGGCTCTTTCCAATTTATTGCCAAAACTGCTCACAATAGAAATCAAACCAGCATTTCTACAAATAGTCCCTCAGCACAAGCCACTCCTGTCAAAGAACTGGTCCTGTAAAACTGCCCTCTTACACATATTCCTTGTATCCGGTCTTCCTAATTTGGGGCTCAGGGTCACACATGTAGCCTTCAAGAGCACTCTGGGTTAACTGAAGCTACATACTAAGGGGGCGGATTCACAGCGTCACTTAAATACCTAGGGAAACCTGTTAGTCAAAAAAACTGGAATAACATGGGTCTTAACTAACATGGGTAAGAGGAATAGCTAGTATATAGTGACAACTTTGTAGCAGGCACTGTTCTGAGCACATCATGTGAATTGCTCTAGATACACTTTATCAACTGGTACAATAATGCATAGCTTAAAGCTGTGGGGTTTTGAGAACCAGAAGGGTCAAATGATTTGTCTAGCTGTACAGGCTGAAGGTATGATATGAACACAAGCAGTGGGAATCAAGCACTGTTCTCATAACCACTATTCTATTCTATTCAAAGATGGTTTCCTGTGCTTAGTCACCTCTGCCATATGACTGATTCTACCCACCTGATATTTCCTGCCCTGAGTCAGCTCATTTCTATAATGCTCTTACTAATGATAAAAACTCATTCCAACCTGATGACTCTGTATTTCCCAATGCGTGTGAGCCCATGTATCTATCAGATCACTGAGCTTGTGATCATTCTGTGCTCTGAACAATATCTCCAAATTCCACATCAGGATGAAGGAAAGGATCCAGTAAGATCTGGGTGAAAAAGGACTCTCTCCTTCTGGTTAAGAATTTCCCTCCTGGAATCATAATCAGGTGTTCCTTCACCTGACTCAGTTTCTCTGAAATCTGGAAGGACAAATTCACAGGAAATGCAAGGAGTCTCGCTTGCTTCCCTGTAGGTTTCAGGGTGAGTTTGCAGCATCCCATCAGGATGTCACAATATTGTGCCATGTGATACATCACCCTAACGGGGCCACTTCGTTCTATAGACAAAGAGTGGCATTTACCCAGCAAGCCACAGACAGCTTTGGTTCAACTGGCATCCAGAAAGGAGGCAAGCCATTATTTCAGAACCAGGGCTAAATTCAGGAGGAAAAAAAAGTGACTCTCTCGGTATACTGGCCTCAGTCATTGTGAGTTCAAAGCTGATCCAGAACCAGTTACTTCGAGGGTCAGTTACTTTTGTGAGTGAGATGCAAGCTTTAGCCCCAAATCTTCAGAAAAATGTACACACGTGTGAAATATACACACTTGCAAAATTTTGGCAACAATTTTAGGGATTCATGGCCCACTCACAAGTCAATGGACTCTAGAACAAAAGCTTCACACTTGACCAACCCTGAAGAATTTCTCATTGAGATACCAGCCATTTACCCAAGCTAGACCTCCATTCAGCTTAGCCACGTTTAAAAATAAATCCCTAAATAAAAATTTTATCATCATCACATGGGGGAAAATGAAGCCAAAGGCAAATCTAAAAACAAAACAAAAAATTCGTACTTCTTTCAGTCTCCCCTCCCCATTCCAATGAGTTGGGGCAACCCATGGCTCCCCAATGTACCTTAATGCTGCATCTTTTGATCTCCAACCTGGCTTTAATACGGTGGCCTCTCCCCCTCAGCCCTCCCCATCCCAAAATAAAAAAGCAAGACCTTTGAAGCTAGCCAGGTGTTTAAGTGACTCATTCATATAAAATAATGGCTTGCTCCAGGGAGGCTGTCCAGCCTGGCTTTCTCTTGCTTGGCTTCCAGGCATGGCAGGCCAATGTCCGGCGGGTCCAGGCAGGGGCAGTAACAAGCCACTGGTTTATGATGCAAGTGAGAGAACATGACTTTAACTAAGCAGCTTCCCAAGAAGCAAAGATTAGACGCATTTGCATATGATTCACCTGTGAGCCATTTCTTTACGGGATATACAAATGTCAGTGTTCCAATAGGCTGTGCCACCCTAGCTTTAGGCTCAACAACTCAGTAGATAAACACATCAAGCCTGAGTTGGCATGACTGGCTGCAAGACTATCGAGCAGATCAGAACACTGGCAGGGCCATTTTATGAAATGGCCAGATGACAGAGAAATCAAAACAAAGCCTGCTTCCCCACCTGCATTTATCACAAAGGGCATCAGTTTACGCTGAGCCTCGCCTTAGCTCAGCTTGTAACTTGCATGAAGACATAGACAGATATTCAACTACACTCCATTTTATGGGAACTTGAAATGTAAAGATGCAGGCAGAAGACAAAAGGCCTTTTTGACAGGGGAGGAGTGGAAGATGGTTCTGAACTCATTATAATGAGTGAGATTATAATGGCAGGCTCCCACTTCAACGAAGTCATCAGCCCAAGCCCTACATTAGCTGAGTGAAAATCTTGGTGGAGGAACTGGGCTATATCACTCATTTTCCAACTTATTTTCTAACTGCAGGAAAGGAATGAGGACCCGGGGAAAAAGAAAATTCCTGAAGTCCAAAGTTTAAAAAACACAACAGTAGACTCAGGGGACAATGAAGTCTTCTTACTGCAAATATGCAAAAAGAAACTGCCCACAAAGACCTCTAGTGATTCCTAGATTTTTTTTTTTTTTTGATTCCTAGATTCTAGACGGTGAAGGACAGCCTGACCATGAGTCAACTGAATCAGGTTGACATTTTGAGTTCCCAAGTGTCTCAAGAACTAAGGCTCAGCAAGAGGTTCATTCAGCCTTCATCTTGGGATCTTCTGCTATAAGTTAAAGACCCAAGTGGAAGAACATGGAAAATGATGTACCAGGAGGACCTTGTGGAAATTACGGGGTGACTCTGGATATGTACTCAGACCTGAATCCCTGGCATTGACTGAGTGGCAACAACTGCCACAGAAAAATCACCCCAATTGGCTTAGTTTCCCAGAGTGGCAGAGCCTTCTTATTGTTTGATCAATTTCCCACTTTCAACAGATCCTTCCAGTGACACACAATGCTGAGGGCTGCTGGAGAGAGGGCGAAGCAAAGGAATGAATGGGCTTCAGTTCTTCAACTTCAACTTCAGAACCACTGACACTGGCTCCCAGCCCTGTCTCGTTCATGTGACTGCAACTGAACAAAACCTCAAACCAAAACCTTTCATTATTTATGTTTTGGAAGCATGCATTCAGTAAAAGAAAAAAACAAAACAGGAAGCATTATTCTTTTGAGTCCATACTTTTTTTCAGGAAAACTCAAATTCCAGTTCTGAAGTGGTCCCAAATCCAGTTTCAAGAGCAGCTCTGAATAGTGTCTTGGCTCCCTCTTACAAAACTGGAGAGACCCAGAAGTTCACCCATCAAAGGATAACCAGAAATATACCACTAACCCTACAGGTGTGTGTTAACATACCTCTCCCAGATTCAAACAGCGTACCAATGCCTTCAGGTGGTGTATGTTTGATTAAGAGTCAGTGTCCAGTTGCAACCAAGCATAACCACATGCAACTCATATAAATGAAATTCATAAAATGAATACTGATGAGTCATCAGTATTAGCCTTAAAAACTAGGAAAAAATAATATGATTTCAGGGCTCTGGAAATTTCCAATGGTTACCTTCTATTCAGAGACCACCACCGCACTTTCACATACCCTTGAATTCCATTGGTAGACATGCCTTCCCTACAGCCAAATATTCTTTGAAATCAATGTTGAAATGTAATTGAAAATTAAATATAGTCTATAGCCTTCTCCATCATAGGAGTATCCAAGTATGAATAATTTTATCAGCTATATCCTGAGAACAAGCTTTTGTTTTAAAGGGAGGCATGAATGAACAACACTCAGCATAAGAGAAGGACTGGTTTCATAGGACAAAAATGCTTTGCCTACAGAGGAATTCCTACTTGTCATCTTCGATGCATAAACACTAGCTCAAAAGCAGGCTTCTTATAAACAGTAACTTCATTCCCTTTCCTAACATTTTAATGAGAAAGACTCGAAGTGGAAGCGTAGGATGTTGGTAATTCTCATTAATACCCAGTAAGCACCTGCATTAAGGCATGTTGGCCTCAGTTGTCAGAACAACTTACCAACAGGAAGATGACCAGTAGCTGTCATGGAGATCTGGGCACGGCAAAAGGTTTTGCTGTCCAACAAGTCTAGAGCAGTGGAAAAATAAAGGACATTAGAAGCCTTCACTCCAAAATAACACTGTGGCTTTGAGACAGGATAAGAATGTGAAAGGGCCTTAGTGTTGGAGAGTTAGTTACCTACTGTGCTACCATAGTTGGTGTCATATAAGTAGTTTTCTTCTTTCCAGGAGTTCATGATGGAAGGATCTACAACACATAGAAAATGAGAATGGTCAACAATCATTTTGTTGTTGTTGTTCAAGGTTAGGAGCTTGCATTTTCTAACTCACTGCCCATCAAAGAGGCACAGAGTGGGGGTTGGGGCTGACCCTCAGAGAGAAAAGAGGAAATTCCACTTCAGTAACATGAGATGGTAAACCACGGGATCCCATTTTTCTTCCAATGTCCTGAGGAAACAGGTTATGTTGTAGCCCAAACCATGTGTTCCAACCCTGTTGCATTTTTAGGGAAGTGAAAGAAGTTATGATGCTAGAATCTGGCCCAAAACAATCCTTCAGCTTCCTAAGAATTTTCTCAGTCTGGCTCGTCTTATATCTTACTATATAATCACCACAATGTCTCAACCCTGGGTGGGGATGGAAGCCTTTGTCAGGAATAACAAATATTTATAATACATGATTAATGAGCATCTTCTAATAATATCTTCCTGGGAAAATTAATGTTGTTTTTTCCCAGAAAACATTGAGTCAGTCTTACTAGTTTTTTCATTGTTGAAATACAGATAGCTCCTCCCTCCAGAGCTAGGACATAGCCCACTCTTTCTAGGGTTTCCCCAAATGACTTAACAGGTGACATAAAAGCTTTAAAATCAAGGAGAATAACTCAAACACCTCTGATCCGTAAAAGTCCCATTGGCGCATCTCTTTAAAAAGTACTCACGCTCTCCCCTCCTCCTCTCTCTCCTGTGTGCTGAGTGAGTATGTCTGACTCTGAAGGAATCTTTACATCTTGGATTTGAAAGAAATTTCCCTCCACCTACCCCAAATGAAACCCAGTTCCTCCTCACCCCACCTCCAGATCTGGGCTGGTCTCCAACAGAAACGTTCTCTTTCCCACCTTAGTGCCTAGAGCACTAAGATCCCCTCAGCAGATCCCCACCTGGAATCTGCTGCCCCTCGCCACAAATCCTGTCCTCATTTCCCAAGCTGTTCAGGTTCTGAATTCTAGGACCAGAGTGGCAAGCCCCTGACCGAGCTTCATTTTGTTTTTATAGCATAAATGGTATAAAACCTGACTCACTGGTTAATTCCTGTTTACGACATAGGGATTTAGCTGGTATTTGAACTAATAGCTACGTGTTTGGGCACCCCAAGCCCAATCTCTTGGGGTTACACCCTCCCTTCTTGTTAGGTCATCTGTACACCTGTTGTTGTCTCTGAAAACAAACTGAACCAAGAAGGTTTGGGGGTGTGGGCACCTTCATGAGCCTCTTCTCCCCTCCTCCCAGGGTGGACCTCCTTCCCCACCCTGCAGCTCAGCTTTTCTGAACTGGCAACACAAGAACGTCTGGACAGTCAAGGAGGGATTATCAAGTTATTTGAGACCTCCTCAATGCCACCCTGGCTCCTGCAGTGAGGCCATGTATCAAGTCAAGCAAGGACGGGCAGGTGGTATCTTCTTATCCATATTGGGTCTTTCCCTAGAGCCAGGACAAGTCTATCAAACATAGCCCACCCAAGTAGCCCATCCCCTGGTCTCTGGGGAGAAGGATAAGATTAGGAAGTCATCCTAAGCATGCTTAATAACTATTGTTTTTTTCTGAATAATGTTTACCAGCTTCTTATAAAAGAATAAATAACTGCATGGGCCAGTTTTGGCACCAGGTGACTCACAAATCACCTCCAGGTCAAATCCTGTCCTTGGTGACAGGCACGCAATCCTCAGAGAGGCCTGTGGCAAGCTTGCGCAGCTCACATGGTTCACAATATCCCTGATGTGAACAGAGGGAGGGACTCGAGAGCAGGATCAACCACACTGTAATCACGGCTGTGGACCATGGGGAAAGGTGTCTAGAAGAAATGCATAAGATGCAAGAAGCAGAACTCAAAATAATGTGGTACCATAGGGCTGAGAATTGCTCAGAGACCACAACAGATTTTTTGTTTGTTTGTTTGTTTGTTTGTTTTGTTTTGTTTCTGAAAATTGTACTTAAAACAGAAATTGAGTTTCACGGTCTTTGGAAACTTCTGGGGCCTCCAAAGACCCCTCCCTGGCTACAACATCAAGTCAGCATCGTCCTCTTCTTGTGAAATGAACCCTCTTTAAGCAGGGACACTGACTCTTTTTGGTTTTTTTTCTGGAACTTTTTTTTTTAATGTGGCTAAGCCCAGTCTCCAGATTTTTTTTGCCATGAGGAGATCCATCTTGAACTCTGCACTTTTCTTGTCATTGCCTGGAGTCTGAATGAGGCCCTGACCTGTGAGAGTGGGAAGCAAAGACATGTGGGCAGAAAAGACTCCCACACCATCTGTCTGTAGGTCAGAAAAGGTGGACAGCTACTGGTTCACAAGGGCAAGGATTGACATTGAAGGTGGAGTGGCCCATTGGAGACAGACAAGAAGAGGCCTCCCTGGGTTTCCTGCCAAAATCCAATCCCACACTCTCTGTCTTGCACTCCCTCTCTATTGTTCTCCCAAGAGCTTCATCTGGCCAAGTTGGCTGCCTTGGTCCCCTACTACGCACCAGTTTGTTCAGTCTTGACAATGACATTGTGTGTGGACTGGAACAGGTCACTGCTGCACTGACCTAGGAAAGACAGATGGGAAACATCAGAAAGAGCCCAGATGGAACCAAGCATTGATGCTGCAACAAGGCCAGAAGCTGGCTGAGTTGAAGAGTTACTGTCATCTCCTTCACCGACTTTTGAATGGAGGAAGCTTTACTCCAAACCTCAACAAGCCCAAGGCCACAGTCCTACACGCCAGAAAATCAGCAGTCTAGAATACTCACATTAGATGGAATTATGTGGCATTGAGTAGGAAAGACATCTACTCTGGGGAAAACAGAATAAAGACCAGAAGATCCAAGTTTCACTTCCAACTGAGAAGCACATTACCCATGGGGGTCTCTGTCTCCTCACCTGTGCATTTCAGTGTTAAACTACACAAAACCATGAGGTGAACCCTAAGGCGCTTTCCTGGACTAGAAGCTAATACGAAACAAAAATGAGAGTACAGACAAAATCATTTTAACTAACTTGATTCTTTCCTTTAAATTTAACCCAGCCCATTCTGATTGTTGCCAATACTTCAGAGATGTCTCTGTAAAATACAGCTATTCTTCCCTTATTTACACTTTTAGCACAGCTATAAGCAATGTACGCCATGGATCCTTGCATTTGCTGGAAATACTCCTCCAGTTGTGTCATACAAATCACATACAAGGGATCTTCAAAGAGCTTGTGGAAAACATACCTCATCTTTTAATTCCATTTTCTATGAATTTTTTGAAGTATTCTCATTTATCCTTATGACTGACTCGAGTATGCTTTTATTCCCACAGACTGTTTATACACATTTCAAGAGCAGAAGTCATGCCTCTATGACCTTCAGCTTTCCCTTCTGTAAAATGTGTACACTCTATTTGTTGTCACAAGTTCTTTCAATGAACCAGTTCAGCTGAGAACGCCTGGGACAAATAAACCCTCAATAAATGTTAACAGAATGTCTACCAAAAAGCAAACAACAAAACAGGATGAAAAATCTGGATGAAGTCAGGCACTCAGAGGGAGCAGCAAGATGCACTGAGCCCAAACAAGTCATGGACAAAGGTCAAAGGTCAAAGCTCAAAGTTGGGAGATCAAAATGAGAGGTCAAAGATGGCCACACTGCCTCCCTGGCCTTTCTGCCTCAAGCATCAATATGGCAAAGCTTTAAAGGAGGTGATTTAATTGAAGGTGGAGAAACAAATATTTTAAATTCTTTAAATGTATGTCTGTTTTTTCTCTGAGGATTCCTGAAGATTATTTATAAAGCCTTATTTAGTTTGCTTCTAGTGAAAGAAAAATAAGCAGCCACAGCTGTGTGGTTGGGCGGTTAAGGGAGTGCCAGGAACCAAATGAAGTCATCTGAAATGGCCATCACAGCTACCAGCTCTGCACCCAGACTCTGGGTCCTCCTCGGTGTTGAAGGCAGCACTCAGGCGCTTGATGAGAAGCATGGCCCAGGAGCTCACACTTCAGAGCCCTGGTCACCTGCCCAAATAAAGGTTCTGCTCAAAATAAAGAAACACCTTCCCATATTAAACATTGCTGTTATTGAAAATAACCATTGTTTCCAGAAGAGCTATTTTTTTTTTACAACCACTATCAAGAGAACCTTATGCCAAGGTCAAAAACATACTGCAAGATGAGCTGTCAACCCTACTGGGTCTTACAAGTCAGTATGCAGCATGTACCTGTCTAACTACGCTATTGCCAATGACTGCCTTTGCAATGGTGACCCATCCGTTAGCTAGGTGGGGCTTTGGCCAAGACACCTAGGCTCTCGGGCAGCAGCAATACCAGATATGACTGCACAAAGATCACACACGTGTCCAGACCACCCATCCTAACACTTTCACGGAGTCATGTACATTTAAGAATCTGGCAAAATAGTGTGAGCCCTCTTTCTGCCCAAGTACAAATATAGATCTAATCTCATATATCATCTTTGCCTCCTTAATAGTTCATCTTAAGAACCCAGATCTAGAAGACTCTCTATTCCTTTTTTTTTTTAATCAATGGTTAGTAATTAAACTATCGAACTGTTAGCAAAGGAAAAGGAAGTAGGTTGTTTAAGAGTAGCAAGTATTCTGTGAATATCCAGACATTTTTTTTCTGTATCCTCAAAAATGAACATAGTGTAGACTTAAGGAGAGAACTACATTGGATCAGCAATTATGTGGGATTGGACACAGCTAGTACCCCGGGCTTTCTTTACTCCTGGCTTCTCATCTCTTTCCTACTTCCCTTTCATAGGAAATGGCTAGTTGGAAGTGAGACTGTCCTAAAAAGGAACCTGTTCATGGGCAGAGCATTTGTTCTTCTCAGCCAGCTCCTGGCAAATAAAGCAAGGGAGAGGGAAGAGAAGAGAGAGAAAGGTGGTCACCATTCCATTTGAGATGCTGCAGATTGCTGTAGAGGAGCTGTCCCGCCGTCCCTGCTGCCCGGGTGAACTCTTGCAAACTCATGCTGCAAAGGTGTTCGCCATTGATGTCGAACTCCTGGAAAGGGATGCAACTGGCATCCAGCTGATTGGTGTCCAGAAGGTGCTGGAGCCACTCCCACACCTGGTACTTGGTCCAATACTGAGGATGGATCTCATGCCACTGGCCTCCAAAAAACCCGCTGGAAACTGCAAAACAGGAGGCGGCTGCATGAGTGACCCCTGGCTGTTCCCAGGACAGAGTCTCAGAAACAAAGATGTACAGCTGGCTGTCAGAGGTCATGGGAAGCATAACCACAGTGTGTGTGCCCGAGGATAAGGGGTGGAGTGTAAGACAGGAGGCTTGAAATGTGGCTCTGCTCCCAGCCACGGCAGGAGCCAGTCAATTAGCCTCTGTGTGCCTTTATGTCCTCTGTAACATCATTTTCTCTCTAGGGACCAGATGAGGACATGAAGAATTAAGTGCTCTCTACTCACTCCCAAAGTAAAGTAGCATGAACACCAAATAAACTCAGTCAGAGCCTTAACAACTTGGCTTATTGGCCACATACCTCTCTGTCTCTCCCATTTTCTTTCTCAAACATACATACACCTACACACACACACACAGTCACACATCTTAAATTCAGACCATTGTCAACCAAAACTGAGTTCTGAAATTAGCTTTTTTTTCCCTCAAAGATACCCTTCTTTCTCCCTAAAGCATCCAGTTTATTTGTCTGATAACTGTGTTATCCTCCTGCCCCAGTTAGGTACAGTAGGAAACATGGCATCACTGGACCTGCTCAGCTATACTGAAAAGCTCCTCAGTATCCACTGAATTTAGGAATAAGCCTGCCTCACCAACCACTATGGCTCCTCACTAACTTACCTTTAAGTGAATGATGGCTTGTCTTTTCCAGTGTTCTGTTCTTTTAGCCCAGTTGGTATTCAACCTCCTACTTCTATTGAAACCCCATCCATCTTTCAGCGTCTGAACACCTCACAAAGCCATCTCAGATACCTCAATTCACTGCCAGCGCTCACTGGTCCCTGCATTTCTGGGAGATATTCACTCTTTCTCATAGTGACCTTTGTTATGTTCTGCTTATCTTTGAACGTCTCTAGGTGGAGTCTTATTCTCCTTTGTAGATCGCATTTTCAAATCACTCTGTCACACATCTTCATATCTCCTAAGAAAACTATCCAGAAACCTTGCCAGAGTAGATGCTCACTATGCATTGATTTAATGGAACTTATTGTTGAAGAAGAAAGACTGTTGAAGAGAGTTGTAAAGCTCAATACAAGGCATTGAATTCAGACAGCAGTGAATTAGTAAAGTTCATCCAATTAAATAAATATTACTAAGTCTCAAATGTGCTGACCATCTTTCTATGTAAAAAAATGCCAGTCTGGGGCTGACATTGTGGCACATAAGATTAAGCCTCCACCTACAATGTCTGCATCCCATATGATCACTACCTGAAGTTCCATTTGCTTCACTTCTAACCCAGCTTCCTGCTAATGTGCCTAGGAAAATGGCCCAAGAGCCTGGGCCCCTGCTACTCACATGGGACAACCAGATAGAGTTAAAGGCTCATGGCCTTGGTCCAGCCCAGCCAGGTCATTGTAGCCATTTAGTGAAGGAACCAATAGATAAAATACCTCTTCTTGTCTCTGTGTCAAGAGATGCTAGAGTTCCCTGGGAGACAAGGTGAAAGGGATCAGTCCCTTCCAGGAAAGGTGAGGGGCAGGGGCAAGGGGTGATGCCATTGCAACCCTCTAACTAAAGCATGTGATGGTCAACTCAACTTGACATGCAGATATTTCCAGAAACAAATATGGCCCAGTTGGGGGAAAGATAATGTGAAGAAACTGTCCCTAATCTTTTTTTTCAAGGTCATGTTGAATGAGAACTTCTCAAAATTTGATGTGGTTATGAATCACCAGGGACTACTGTTCAAATGCAGATTCTGATTCAGCAGAACTGGGGTGAGCCTGAGTTTCTGCATTCCTGACAAGCTTCCACATGATGCTGCTACCATAGGTCTGTAGAGTAACAGGTGCTTAATGGTTCCAAAAGGCCTGATTCTCATGATACTTATGGCCTAGCTCTTAACACTCTCACAGGAGAGGGGGATGGTAGAATGTTTCTGATCCAAATTTAGTTTTTCTCAGAATCTATCTTCTGCTTCCAGATTTCAAAAGCAGTTAATATCATGAGGTCCAAACCATTCAGGACACAAAATGACCACCATTAGTGATATTTGCCATTCACAATATGAATCTCACTTCTCTTCTACATAATCACACAGAAACAGTCCTAGACCTTCCACTTGGGCCCTAAAGTGAAAATTATTAATTTGGGGATAGGGAAGGAACAAGAATTTGAAAAATCTAATACAAAAATTTAGTTGTATGGAAGTATTACTGGGGCAGGTGCTTGGCCTAGTAGTCAAAACACTTCAAAAAGCCTGGATTCTATACCCAGCTCTGGCTCCACCTTATTCTAACTTTCTGCTGATGTAGAATCTGGAAGATAGTGCACAATGGCTCAAGTAATTGCGTTCCTAACACCTATGTAGGAGACCTGGCTTTAGCCTGACCTAGCCCCAACTGTTGTAATCATTTAGTGGGCAAATCAATGCACTTGCTTGTTCTTTCTCTCAAGTAATTGAAAGGAAAGAAAGAGAGAAAAGGAGAAATGGAGGGGGGAAGGGAAGGGAAGAAAAGGGAAGAAAAGGGAAGAAAAGGGAAGAAAAGGGAAGGGAAGGGAAGAAAAGGGAAGGGAAGGGAAGGGAAGGGAAGGGAAGGGAAGGGAAGGGAAGGGAAGGGAAGGGAAGGGAAGGGAAGGGAAGGGAAGGGGGAAGGCAGAAAGAGAGAGAGAAAATAAGAGAAAAATTAAACAAAATGAAAAGAAGAAAGAATTCCCAAATCCATAACTACACAGAACTTAGACTGACTGCTTCCATGTTCCTCCATTTCTTGTGTCTCACAAATAGAGATGTATAAGAGTAGAATGTCTACTCTTGGTGGCTCCCAAGTCCTTTGTCTTTCCTTTCTGAAGTAATCGCGTTGTTATGACAGTGTAGCTTTAGTTGGCCAACATGAGATAATAGTCTTAATAACCCAACAATTTAGGTAGAATAAATTCTACAAACTTTGTATGATCTAACTTGAAGGATGGTTCCTGTGCAGCCTCAGGACAATCACAGAATTTTGTCTGAAATCGGCTGGAGGAAAACTCCTTGTCACAAAACAGATCCCTCAGCTTCCTGGAGTTTCAGGAGAAACAGTGAAAGTCCTCAGAGGTCAAACCTGCTATACTCCTCAAGTGACCTTTCTGTCCCAATCCATCTTGATCAGGAGCTGGGTTTTCTTTGTGGATCTCTGAAAGTTCAGAAATAAAAGAAAGTACCACCTGAATTCTACTCTTTTCCACTGATTTCCTGGAAAGAAAGCAGGGAAATGTTTCCTGAAACAAAGGTCCACAGCAGGGTGCCCAAGACTTCCTGCTCCATTTGGAAGCTTCCTGTTAGCATCTCACAAGGAATCTGAAGTCTGCAACAGAAAACCTGACTGCCTAGGTAGGACAGAAGTTTGGTAGGATGGAAGGTCAAAGAAGGGAAGGCCATAACTACACATGTTATCCATCACTTCTGGCTGGGAGTCCAACTGCAAAGAGACAGAGCTCCACTTCTGTCCATCACTAATTGGAGAATCCAACTCTCCCCATATTTTGCCAGTCTCCAACTCTGCTACCCAACAGGCCATTTCCACATTGCCAGGCAAATAAGGTCTACAGCATCTCCGGCAGGGAAGTCAGTCACAGGAGTGTGGTAGGATGAAGGTCAGAACTGCTGGATGCTCAGCTGCGGGCTATCCACTGTAGGCCTCCCCACTGGGTATGCAGCTCCTGATTCTGCAGCAGACTCACCCAGCTCAGCTTCTCCAGTAAGCTCCAGGCTTGATCTCTCTCTCTCTCTCTCTCTCTCACACACACACACACACCTCATCCCTGTCCTCTCCTATCAAATCGCAGTGAAAAGCCTCAACATGGAGTGTTCTTTCCACTTCAATCCCTGCCACGCTGCCACCAGAATCTTGAGTTTGGGGCAGAGAAGATGGAATAGAAAGGTGGCCTTTTGACTTGGCAACCTAGAGGTCAGTAGGGAACTCTAGGCTTAAGTTACCTGAGCCATCCCCTCATCCTCTACTGAATAAAAGCAGCAGTTTTCAAATGTTCCCTTGGAAGAAGAATGAAAGCAAAGACAGTCACACACTCTCAGCCCTCTTACCGCTGCATGTGGAATAGCTGTCCGTCCAGGCGGGCTGCTGGTGGTGGAGATTGTTGCCGGGGTTCAGATTCATTACACCACTTCCTTCCAGAATCATGATCTGTAGGGGACCAAACAGCCCATTCAGGCAGTGCCTCTTGGACAACCGTCATTTGAGAGTACAAATCATAGTGTTAATTTAGGAAGAAAGAAAGAAAAAAACAACGTGTCCTTCCGTCCATTGCCACAGCCCTTTCAGTAAAAGCAAAACTCACGGCGATTAAAAATGTCCAGGTTCAATTTTCATATGCATGAGGCAAGTCTTTACAGCCACCCATTCATAAATGAATAATCTCTGATCAGGAATGAAGTGAGAGGAAAATGCAATACCTGCTCCCAGGGCGCGTCTGGCCAGCATCCAAATGTTTTAGAAAAGTGAAAATGCCAAAGAGATTTTCTTTTAAAGCGCAATCTCAATCAATGAAAACTCAAGCTAGAAATGGGCAGACCTAGCACCTACAGGGGAACTCTGGTGAGTCCCCAGCCCACCCCATCAGCCCCACACCTGGGAACAATTCCTCCAGGGACACTGTCTCCTGGGGTAGGCTGTTGAGCAGAGAGGGTCTCAATCATATCCCAGGAGGTCAAGTGCTAGCTTTGTGATAACACCATGACTCAATTGATTCTCTGGCAGACCTAAGCCCTTTCAGATAAAGAAAATGATTCTTTTCCTTTATGGAAAAAAAAAATCATGATTAGCTTTTCTTCTGTTAGAGATCCAGAGAATTCAACAGGCTTCAACAGGTGTCTTCCTGCCTCACTCCGCAGGAGCACTTTCTCAGGAAGGACCTGGGAAAGAACTTCCTTCCACGGACATACTGCAGCTTCTAAACGATGTGAGAAGTCCACACTAGAATCCTTCTCTTTGCTCATCTGGCGTTCATGCTGCCCCCAATGCCAGGTTGAGAACACTCCACTTACACCCCGAGCCCAGCTGTGTGTTCAATCATGCAAAGCAAGAGCAGTCTATTTGCCAAAGGTTCTTGCACTTTTCCCAAAGGCTGTAAAAGTGCCTTGCTCATTATAAAATGTTGGGGTGGGGAGAGGCTTCAAGCTTTTATAGCAGAAAATTGTGAACATTTTTCTGTTTGAGGGACATCTTGCATCCCTGGATGTCACCAACGTCCACAGGAGTGAAATTTCCCACTGAGAGTAGTTCCAGTCCTTGATATCCCTTCCCCTGATTTAGCTACTGCTCCTCTTGTTCTGCCTTAGCGCCTGGGAGTGGGAGTAGAGGGGTGTGGGAAATTCATAAAAAAAGAACACATCCATTCATTTATCCCATCATATTTATTGGTACTAGGATAGAGCTGTGATTAAGAGTTGAACTAGGCTGGACTCGAACGTTCGTTGGTGATCACAAGCATCAGAGTGAGATCTGAATGCAGCTTAGGTAACAGGTGGAGTAGAAAAGTCAGGGGAGGAACAATGGACATCATAACAGTAAGGGATCCCTGGTAGGGAGATTGGTAATGTGTCTTGGCTCCCCAAGTAGAAACTTCGAAGCCAGAAGAACTGGAGCTGATTCCAGATTCTCCCACTTGCTAGCTAAGATTAGCCTTAAGTCAAGTTACTTAACCTCCCTGAACCCTAGGTTACTCAGTTTACTCATATGCAAAATGCAGCTCATCATACCTAGGCGATATGTTGCTTGAAGATTAAGTGAGTTTATATAGGTCAAGACCTTGTGGCACAATTAAGTAGGACAAATGTTAGGACAAGGAGAATCATTACCTGTGTGGATAATCTGAGTTAGAAGCAACAGGGAACCTAAAGAAGGTGACACCACTGATTCCTAAATTCACGTTCAGAAATCTTGTTCCTCACCCTCCAGAAAAGAAAGCTAGCTCACTATCTCCCTCTTAATAATCATCCAACATATTCCTACCCAGCTTCCTAGAGCATTTGCCCTAAAGCTAAGAAATCAGTCTAGGGACTTCAAGGCAAAAGAAAACGTCCAAGGTGGCTGGGGGAGGGGTGGGTATGGCCCAGTCTCCTGTTTGCTCAAGGCTGGGCTTATTCCTTGCCAGCATTTGCTCAACCACAAGCAGTGGAAAGGTTACTGTTTAACCCTGAGAGGGCTGAAGCTCAGTGCCCAGCCCATTTGCACCCAGGGATTGGCCCTCCAGGCTCAGAGCAGCCAGGCTGAGAAAGATTTCCCTGAAATTCTTACAAAAGGATGTGATTTACAGGACTGTTTCAAGGTGGTCCTTTCAGTGGGAGTAAAACCTGCTCGAGTCCAACTCGGAGCTACCATCCCAGGGTTTGCACGTACTGCTTCCTGATCAACGGAAGGCAGGTTGAAAAGACAGAGTACCCAACAGGTGTGGCTGGGGAGATGAGAGTTCAGATTCAACTTCCTCTGCTGGCCTTAGGTGACTTTGAAAAAGTTCCAAATCAGGCTAGCCCAAAACTTTTCGATCCCTCAACTTTCCCCACCTGTAAAACAGAAACATTAAACCCAAAGAGTTACCAGAGTGAAAACCACAAAAAAAAGAATTCAATAAATGTCTCACAGTCGATTTTCTGCTTGTGTCCAAATGCCCATAAGCCCCTTTCCTCAAAGCAGGCACCATTACCCCCTCCCCGCCATGACCTTCTGGAAGCATCCAGAACTACTCCTTACCTACAGAGAAACCTTTAGGAATGCCGGAGCACAGTTGCCCCTCCAGAGGCTGGCCTGTGCACCAGCATTGCTCTCTGCTGGCATCCCTTTTCCAAGGGAAAGGAGCCAGCACGGTGAGGGGCCTTTTTTTACAGGGCACACTAAATGGTTACCACTCATAAAAGATTTTATGTGGCTTAACCCTTAGTGAGTCAGAGTTCACTTAGGCTCACCCAGGCTTGTGAGCCAAGAGGGTCAGTGTCCCAAGTTGAGCAGGCAGCAGTAGGGACGTTCCCTGAGGGTGGGCTGGTTTGGGTAAAGGTCTTGTACCAAGACCTACCCTTCTGAGGCCCAATTTTTCAGTTGTAAATTGAGGGTGTTTGTCCTCCCCCTCCCCCGCTCCCCAGCCTGGTAGGGCTGTTGAGATCAAATGAGATCATGGATAATAAATGTGCCTTGAGAACTGTAAAAAGGCTTTATTATAGCCAACCCACCCACACTCCATGTAGACCTTCGATGGTGCATAGTGACAACTTTACGGGTGTAAGAAGTAGTCCTTTTAGTTCAAAAGGAGGGGATTGTTAGTGCTGTTTCTTTTTCCAACTCCCTACATTACCTTCAGCATATATTTCATTATTTCCTTTAAAAAAAAAAAAACAAAGAAAAGAAAAAGTGCCAAGTATGTGAAGAAGAGACTTTGAAATCCGAGGAGCCTGGATTAGAATACTTGCTCTGTCTTTCATCCATGTGACCTTGACTGTGTTAATCTTTCCAAGTCTCAATTTCTTCACGGCTTTAAAAAGGAGTGAAGGAGCAATATTGATTTTTCTTTCAGCCTAAGGGCTGTTTTGAAGGATAAATAATAAAATGAGTTTAAAGGTGTCTCAGCCAGTGCCTGGCACACAGGCCCCTCATAAAATCCATTTCCTTTCTTTAAACATTAATTCTCAAGGTGTTCCTCTGAAGCTTTGCTTCTTCCAGCACCGGGTACTCCATTTGGAGCCTAAAGAAGAGGGATTACACCCTGTGAACCGAAGGCAAGCTGGGAGAAGGATTGGATCCAGGAACCCAGGAAAGCAAGGGAGTGGTTCCTTAGCCATACAGAGGTTTTCAGTGTGTAGCTAAATTTTAGGGTGGGCTCCTTTGTTCTAGGGGCTGCCCTGTGCCCTGCACAGTGCTGGGAGGCATCCCTGGCATCTGCCCATTCATTGGCAGGCCCCTGGCTTCCAGATCACTGCAGAAGAGAGCCACGACTAAAAAGCAAAGCCCACGGAGGTAGACAACTCCTCCGTCCCTCTTATGTGTGTGGTGACCTTCGCCATGCCTTGGGCTTTCCAAACTTTTTTCCTGTCCTGGGAAACACACAGTACTAGTTCCCACTTCGTGGAATTCCTAGAGGATTAAAAGGCATAAAGGTCCATGAGCCTGTGGCACAGAGCCTGCTACACACAGAGTAATGGTTCAATCAGTGCAGAGGACTCACCTTTGTTCCCACATAGTATAGCTCGTGGGAACATAAGCTAAGTTAATACATGAAGTATCAAAAACTACACACAGGGGCTTGGTGTTATGGCATTGTAGCTTAAGCTTCTACCTGCAATGCTGGCATTCCCTATGAGCCCCGGTTCAAATCCTGGCTGCTTCAGCTTTCTGGCTAATCCAGCTCTCTGTTAATGCACCTGGAAAAGCAGCAGAAGATGGGAAGATGACCGAAGTACTTAGGTGCCTGACACGCATGTGTGAGACCTAGGTGAAGTTCCAGGCTCCTGACTCCAGCCTGGACCAGCCCCAGTCATTACAGCTACTTGGAGAATAAGCCAAGTAAAATCTTGTTACCTCACTTTGATTCTTCCAATTTCTCTGTAACTCTGACTTTTAAATAAATATTTTTTCACAGAGGCACACACACACACATGTACAAAGTATGTTTTCTTTTGAACTCATAGAGGCAAATGCAATGTGGGTTAACATTTCTGGAAGGAGCAGTGTGTGACACGGTGCCCCCCTGAGTTCCAGAACTGCATCCCATAATGCAGGAGCTGAGAAGATGGAGGGTCTGCGGGAGAGGATTTTAGTTGAGGAAAAAGAGCAGACAAAACACTGACAAGCACCTGCTGCCAAACTCCCAGCCAGCATCTGTTCAAGCCCAGACAGCACTGCCCTATAAATGACAAGTGACCAGTTTCTCTGAAACTTGTGGGCTGCTGGAACATGGCCAATTCAAAAGTTGTTTTTGCAACAAGATAGTGCTATGCTGTTGCATCGAGTTAGCCACAGCCTGAGCAGTGGTGAAAGGTACAGGCTTCCTTCTGTCCTTCACTTATTCAATTGATAGTTTTCCATAGACATCAGTTCCTGTGGTGCCCAAAGGTGCTTCTGTGCCAGGCACATAGAGGCAAACACATGCCCCTGGGTCTACCTCTCCTCTGGATCTTTATCAAAGGTTGGTTTCCCTG